ACTACAGGACGAAAGCAGCTATCCACCTGACTTAGATGACTTCTTGCAAAGAGCCGAAGAAGCACGGCAAATGGCAAGATACCGAATACGCCACCAACAGCACGTCGATTCTAGTCGCTACAACAAGCGACGCAGTGACACACTTTATCATCCCGGTGACAAAGTGTGGATATGGATACCAGTGCGCCGCCGCGGACTCTCTGAAAAGCTTCTTTGCCGATACTTCGGCCCTTATGAAGTACTCAACCGTATCAGCAACGTCACTTATGAAGTTAGGTCCGCTGGACACGTGAGTTCAAGACGCCGCAATCCCACGGAAGTGGTCCACGTAGTCCGCATGAAGCCCTATCATGACAGATCGTCGAAAAACGAGTGAGAGTGCGCGTGTATCTTTTCACTGTCTTAAGCATCGGGACGATGCGTCTGAGGAGGGGGGCAATGCTGCGACAGGTTCGCCACATTCAAGTAGCCCGCCACAATCATCGTCACCAGCACCAGCAAGACCCGGCTCGGCTGGCATGCGCCACGCGTTCGGACGTTCAACAACGAGGAAGAGGAAGTTAGTCAGATCTGTGCCACTCGGCTACTCGAACTTGACGACCATAGTTTTTAGAATCGTGGGCACAAGTTCGCCCTAATAAAGACGCTTGTTTTTTTAACCTGTCGGCGTCAGCATCGCTACAATATGTAACAGATTTGAAGTCTTTGTATTCCTGTAGCTCTTTGTTGTTTTTTCATGTTTTCCACCATCAGATCAACATGGAGGTGACAGAATTATAGATTTCTAGTGTGAGTGACATATTGTGATTGCACACATCGAGTGTGAACAACGCAATGACAGTTGTAGAATCTTTATGGCACCGGTTAGTACTGTGTTGAATGTTGTCTATAGCTTTAACAGAGCGAACAAGTTGACACAGTGAAAGCTCTCCTGGCTTTTGTGCCTCGAACCACGTGACACTCTTTTTTTTTGCCAAGGCTGGCTGGACTATTTTATCGATTCTCTGAGCACTTTAAAAGCTTTGAAAACATTGAGAAAACACAAAAATCTTGCCCTTGTCTTGCTTTACTCACTGTTATGCACGACTTACTCAAATATGTTTTAGTGTGCTGAGTGCCAGAGCACTGAGAGATCAGCAGAAACATGTCGGCAGACCAACTAGCTGCACTCACCCACGACAAAGCTGCTGCCAATACATTCATAACTGTCCTTGCACTTGACCTGACACCCTTCTTAAAATGAAAGCTCAGGGGTTATCGGCAGTACTTATAGGATAGGCAAAAACAAAATAAACTAGATGTTATCCAAGCAGTCTTGAAAATTGGCCACCCTTGTCCTGGTCGCACTGTACACAAGAACATTTACGAGACTACAAGTACGACACATGCATGCATACCTTTTGTCTGGTGATGATCCAGGTGTGAGAGATGTGAAGCACCTGCCGTGCTTCTTATCTTCATTCAATGCAACAAATTATATGTCGTCATCAAAAGGCACTTTTCATTATCCTATAAAAAGCAATTTTTACTGCATCTTTTTATGTTCATCTGTGTAGATGCACATTTTAAACATGAGTCATTATTTACGTTTTTAAGAGGTGTGCATAGTATTCACTCCATATTACAAAGTGATCCATTGCACAATCTCTGAACTGCTGCTTGCGGTGGCTACGTTAAAGGAGCACTGACACAAAAATTTCGCCCCCCCCCCCCTTTTTTTTATGCAATAGGTATCTTATTACCCACTTATCATAGCTGGAAACCTCGTTTGCATGAGTGCATGAGTTTCTTATTTAGGAATGTTTTTAGGGTGCCCAGTTGCTGTTCAGTTTCAAAAAGCACCGAGCTAGGCAGGAGCAGTTTTGGTGGAAAGGTAGACACAGCTAGCCACGCGAAGATGCAAAACTGTGACATGGGCACTGTGCTGGAGAGCGGACGCCGCACTGACAGCCAGTACATCCAGCACACGAGGAGCCACAGGCATGGAGGTGTAAATCGCAGGTAGCGCAAGCAGCCTGCCAGCAGAAACTCGCGGTGTGGCTTTGTTTACATTGCCACCACGGTGATGTCAGTGTTGCAAGGAGCTGCTCGTCTCGCTCAAATTCAGTTTAAAATTGATTTTGAATATGTTCTAGGCGATCTTTATTCTTGATATTTTGTAGATGTTATTTATGTCTCCACATAAAACTATCTCGCTTATCATTTTGCCTTCGAAATCTTCTGTCACTGCTGCTTTAAGAAAGCACCTGCCTCTCAGCCCTTGTGTTGAAAGGCATTGATGAGGTAATCGTGCTAATGCCATATTTTCAAGATAGATCAGTTACCACGAGCATTGCCAATCATTGTCGTTCGCACATTTCATGTCACCTTCATGATTTTTTATGCTTATGTTTTATGCACCTTTAGTGCACAGTATTTAAGGCCCGTATATAGCCGCATAGCATAATCATAGTTCACATTCATTGTCTATCATAAATTATTGATTATTGTTAACTTTCCATCATCTGTTATAGTGCTTTTTGACCAAGCCTGGCCCTTGTGCCATGAAAGACCAAATGTCATCACCATCGATTATTTAAAGCTTCTCTGTCAAAGCAAAAAAAGTTTAAAACGAAAGGTGCCAAAACAAAAAAAGATCTCGTATTTAACATGCTTTGATGTTGTATTTAAAATCTCAAAATACATGCCTAGTACAACAAGGCTTCAGACATCAGAAAAAAAACATGTAATATAAACCTTGAAAGCACATTCGCTTCGACATTTTGTTAATTCATGTTCACTTTTTTAGTGCACTAAACTAACTAGGACTGCAAAGAATGATGCAGTGTCCACATTGTTTTTGTTCATTTAGTGCTCTCAAAAAGGGAAAATGATAACCATAAACCTGTTATAAGTGTCCTGACAGGTGGTGTCACTGAGGTTTACATACACTATGGCTGTCTACGAAAAGCACAGTTCTTTCAGGCAAGCCTTAAATCATAACCGCCCTTCCCCCCCTCCCACCCAAAAAATAAAACAAATGTGTGATGAGGTACCTCGGTAGTGGCAGAGGCGGCCAAGTGGCTAGCACTGCATCAAAAGGCACTTCCAGATAGGCTGCTGTACTTCCGTTCCCGGAGAAATCATGGGTTGTCGGCCGGTAAGTACTAATGCCCTAACATTAAACACGAGGAAACGTCAAGCGGCGGGTGTCCCGTGTAAACTGCGTGGAAAGAAGTGATCAATCAAATGTTGGGCACGTTTAGAACGGTCGCGAAAGCCCTCGGCATCGAAAGTCCCCGCGTCAAAAAGCGATCGGCGCTCACAAACGTGTGTCCAAAACAACAGTGCATTTGGGTATAAACTCAATTGAAAGGTCTGGAATAAAACTTCTGGCTCAACCATTCAGTTCAATTGAATACTTCGGTAGTAGCGCGCGAGAGGCGAGCCGGATATTAAACATGTGATGGCTCCTGTACTTCCCAGTCGTGTTTCATTTCGTTCACCTTCCTCCCCCTATTAGCGGCCCTACCAGAATATAAAGCTCACCTACCGCATAAACATAATCGCCCTTTGGCCGGGCGCAAATACAAACATGTTGTCGAGCAGATCAAGCAGTAGCTGCTCGCATCAAGAGCATGGAGCATAAGCATCGCCTTTCAACATTTGCGAGCTATAGCTCGCAAGTACCGCTTCGAGGCGTCGTAAGTATGCACATAATTGGGCTATGAGACAATTATTGACACAATGCGTTATCGCGCGGTGTGAGAACACTTTTAATGCGCTGCTGTTTATAAGGTGGGCCCGCATTTATAACTAAACTACGCGTGCGTTCCAAAGTAAACAGCTCTCATTCGTCGTCTACACTGGATCCCGTTTCAACTTATTTATGTGGTGGCATTGATGCGTTCAGAGACGTTTAAAAAAAGGTAACAGGAAGAACAGCACGCACATAATCGCGTCGAAACGTCGGCCGCAGTGCGCATACAAGCCCAGCAGTGGCGGCGGCTTGTGGCCCCCATACGACGGGTGGCACCTCTAGCGACAGATTTTGTCCCTATATCAACCTTCGGGCGGAGTTTCGTGACCAGAAAAGCATTGAAGGACTCTGGTTAAACTAAGCTGGCAAGGAGCAGTCACTCTTTTGAAATGCCCAAACCAAGAGCTGAGGTGTGGCAATGCATCATATTTTTGAAAACGTTTGCTAGGTGCTAGTCACATTCATTAAGCTGGCCATGACGTTGGGATCCCACTATTCCAAGTCAATCAATACAACCAAATAGTAAATGAGCCATTATGGTTGTACACACAAAAAACTGAGCTCTCAGTGTATCTGTGAACATTTCAATTGGAAGTGGTTAATTTGTCGCCACCTGTCATTTTTGCCATTGCTGCCTAAGTTCAGGCCCACCAATCTGCTCAAAACCAGTCTTAAACCACATTGGATGTCTTTCTTTGTAAACTGTGGCATTCAATGGTACAGGAAGGCTGCCACTTTTGAATTGTGCCTGCAATTCTTTCACTTGTGTGATCGCTTACACAACCAGAGAATACCTCATAAACTACCCAAGCCTGACTGCCAAGACACACTTGCCAAAACAAAGCATGACATCTGTGGTGTATTACAGCTCTTGCAGCCACATCTGGCACTTGCTGTGCATAATGGCATCACCTACAAGATTGGCTTCTACTATTGGATTAGCAAACATTACCAATGTAAACTAGGGCCGTCTTCTTGATTGGTTCTCTTTGAGAATACTTTCACTGATTGTATGACACACTGTCCATGCAAAGCCCTAATTGTGGAAGATTGGCAGTCCTAAGCTGAGAAGCCCAATTTCCTTAGCCCTCGAATCGGAAATTGGTTCAGAGATTAGTGCCTTAATCAAGAGGTATTTTTCAAATCGATTAGCCCTTTATAGCGTTTTTTATATATTATTGTTACCTTAGAGACTCGTTATAGTGTTTCACGCTAAAAGTAGTGAATGCTTTCTCCTGTTGACTTTTATTTTCTGTTTAAGTCTCACACAGAGCTGGGAAACATCTGGAAAGTTGGCCAATGTCTATGGTTCAAAGATTTTCCTGCAATCTACGATGTTTTATCCCAAGAATGGCCTGACCATGTCAAACCTATCATGCAGGAACTTGGAGGTAATTTCAGTAGTTTACAGGCACATTTTTTACCCTGCCTCTTTGTGCACTGTCCTGAAACTTTTTTGTATTTTTTTCTTAATTGTTATAATTTCGTTCGTAAGAAGCAGGGTATGCGAAATCGGGCATATTCTGCCATTAATATAAATTTACAACATTGATATGAAATATAATATGGACAAACACGTGAATTATGAAAATATTATGAATAATAATGTTCATAATAATATGAACAATGACATGAATTGGCAACATTAATATGAATTGCAACATTTCTAAATCGGAAAGTCTTCATGCAGTCTTTCTTTTGTGAGACAAAATGCAGTCACTGACCAAGTCATGAAATGATCCAATGTTTCGGAACCCCGTATGGGTTCCTTGTTTGAACAAAGTGAACAAGGAACCTTTATGCAGTTCCTAAAGCTTCAAGATCATTTCATCAGACTTGGTCAGTGACAGGTGTTTCATCTCATCCAGTGCCTAACTGAACAAACATTTTGTCGAAACGCTTGGACTATGTTATTCTTTCTTTTGCGAGTGTGTGACTGGCAACTATTTTCTCATTGAATAAGAAAAGTTGTTTTTCTGTTTCAAAATGCTTCACATCCATTTCCCTTCTTTTTTCTGTATTTATCTGGATTTTTTCTTGTATTTACTCTGTACTTGCCCCCTCTCCATTCCTAAATACCCTATTAGGCCCTGTAAGGTTATATGAATAAATAAATGATTAAGGGACCACTGAATTGTGTGGAAAGAAAAAAAAAGCCATGGATAAAAAAGATGCACTTGCCTATCCACGACTTTTCTTCAATATGGCAAGCTGAATTTCTGACTATGTTCCTTTGTGTAGACTTTCTAGTTATTCATAATGTAAGTTCTTTTATTGTTGCAGAACAAGTTTGAAAACAGTTTAAGCATCTTTGCTTAGGTGTGATCTTTGTGTGTAGAGTGTGCTCTGGTGAAGGATGACTGCAGCGGCTCCATTTCCGATGGAGGCGGAAATGTTGTAGGCCCGTGTGCTCAGATTTGGGTGCACGTTAAAGAACCCCAGGTGGTCGAAATTTCCGGAGCCCTCCACTACGGCGTCTCTCATAATCATGTGGTGATTTTGGGACGTTAAACCCAAGATATCAATCAATCAATATGGTGAAGAATGCTACCAAGTAGGAAAGCATTAAGCATACTTCACTTTGCAATATGTTGGCTGGAAAATTTCCTACAGTGGCTATTTGCCATTCAGGAGCAAGATCATGAGAAAATGCTGTGTTCCTCTGCTGTGGAGTGTGGTCTGCTCTGGAAAATGCACAATTTGATGCCACACTTAGCTGTTAATGGCAGTTTTTTTTTGTCTCCACAGTTTCAGTGCTAAGCAGCAAGAAATGTTTCTTATCATCTAGTCATTAATATCCTTTTTGCAATTTTTCAAACCATCAGTCACATCAGTTCTATGTAAACTTTTTTGCATCAATTAGTGATACTAGAAAGTTTTTCTAGTCACCCTTGGTAACATTCTGTAGTTGATGCTTCTAAGTGCATTGATATGGTACCTGCCATCAGAATGAAGTAATATAGATACACATAATTTTCTACAATCGCGACTTCCACTTAGCCTTGGGCACAATTTCTAAGTAATTATGATACTTTGTCAAATTTTGAAATTCCAAGGTGTACCGTGGTCTCATTTATGAAGTTTGGGGCTGCCTATCTGCACCCTGAGGCCTGATTGTAAACTTTGGTTATGCACTAAATTCTGTAAGGTATTGAAGCAAAACTTTGGTTATGTACTTAATTCTGTAAGGTATTGAAGCAAAACAGCTCTTCAGATATGTTCAGTATTGAATGAAGTGCCCAGTAACAATGCCATCAGGAGGTGAACCTCATTGCCAGTGAGCTTTGGCAAGCTCCTGCAAGCAGCATTCTCTCTCTACTATTCTTCATGTACTGTAGCCAAAGAATCGCATTTCCGTGACAAGCACTGCCTCAGGGTTTATTTTTTATGATTAAAAGAGGTTTCATGTCATAATCAGTGACGTTGCAAGCAGTGCATAGGACATGAGGCTTTAGTGTGGGTCTCTTAAAGCCAGGTAGATCTACAGCCACCTTCGGACGAAAAGCTCTTCTTGTTATCAGTGATGGAAGTGCTGCTCTAATTGCTCCAAACTGCTCCGAAAGAGAAATGCTGCTCCATGCTGCTCCAAAGTGCAATATTTGCTAGTAATTGCTCCAAGCCAGCTCCAAAATGGTGTTGGCAAACTAAAGAGAATAAAGTTGAACCATGGGAACCACCCCTTGAGCATAAGCGAAACCAAAAGCAAGCTGTATGCTATCATTCTAGTATGCTACTCAGTGGCGTAAATCTAGAAAAATCACAAGGGGTGACACATATCGGGCCACGCTGACCGATTTGTATTTTTCATATGGGTTGTATTTTTACTTATATAATAATTAAATCATGCTTTCAAATAGAATTAAAAAATACGAGTGTAGGGTTCGAGCTCAAGCAATTTCATTGTTCTATTCAGTCTCTTTTCATTCACCTTTTTGTGATTTCCATAGTTCACACAGCTCAGGGGCATTTAACACAGCTACGCAGTAACAGATACAAAGCCTTTTAAAATCTTGATTGTGCTATACTAAACTATTAACTCAATTATGTCACGGGCTCAAGCTAAATCTTAAGGGGAACACTTGCTGGGGCTGTCTTTCCCAGCCTGAACACAAAAGTCCGGACTCCCTTGATGCCCCCCATGATTTACCCTAATGGATTTTAGAAGTCGTTAGGAACACGCATTTGCTTCTGAACACGCCAATAGCAACCCTTAGCTGTCGCATTCTTTTCGGCACCGAAGACAGTTAAAGCTGCTCCAAAGCACCATTTTTCTGCTCCAGAATCTGCTCCAAAAACCAAAATGTCGCTTTCTTCGCTTGTTATGTTTGAAACTTCAACCATTTACACTCTACTAAGCCATATTCAACTTTGTAAGCACAGTCGCCACCCCATGGTTTCTGCACCATGCTCATTCGTTAGAATCCCTAAACCTCGCGAAGAATCCTGCCAATTTAATTCTGGTAAGGGCACATGTGCCTACAGCAGTTGCACTCCGTCTTTTGATAATTGGCAGTGGAACTGGCTCAATTAATAATGGTCTTCTTCAGACCTGCTGAATGTAAAGATTTCCGAAGCCCTTCTCAATGGCATGCCTCATATGTCATAATGTGCTTTTGGCACGTAAAAGCCCAGAAATTAATAATAATAATAATAATAATAATAATAATAATAATAATAATAATAATAATAATAATAATAATAATAATAATAATAATAACAATAATAATTAATAATAATAATAATAATAATGAGACATTAATACCCAAAGTCGGGCTATTACCGGAAACTTCGTCTGCCAGTCATTCATGACTGAAAAATTCGCAAGGGATTTGGCTTGTAGATGTGAAATGTTAGCATATTAATCACCAGAAATCTTCATGCATGACTGGTGATGAAAATGTCAGCTTGAAGCGTCTCCAGTGCACTGCAGTATGGTCAATACATTACTTGAAATGGTGAATAGTAAAAGGAATACAGTTTTATTGCTTGTTTCACTGGACAATGGTCTCTCTTGTATATAAGTATAGCCTCTAGGTCGCACATATTTTGTCTCCTGAAGCCATCTCAAGTTACACCCTGAGTTATTCAATTATACAAGTTGTGAAACTGCATTTTGAAACCTAGACGCGCAGTTGGCCCAATTTTTCAGGAGTTAGTTGACGTTTGTGTCACCTGGGAGCAGCAACAAATAACGTGTTTAATAGTGGACGAACGGTCAGCAGGTGGCGCGACAATCTGCTCACTCCCGACGGGGGGGGGGGGGCAATGACGTGTCCGGATTTGTATACATAGCGCCTGGGGGGAGTTTCACAACTCATATGATTGAATAACTCTGAGTTACATTCAGTGCATTTGGTTTCAATATTGTTATGGTGCACCATCGACAGGATCAAGCGTAGCACTTTGCGAAGAGGACGAAGATGCTTGTGCGTTAGACGCTTGCGCGAGAGGCAACTCAGCCATCTTGTTCGGCTGCCAATTCTCTGTGGGCGCTATACGATAAACCTAGGTCTCGCCCCGTCACATTTGGTGGAGGTGCTGGGTAAACGCCTCGCAATGGAACTTTGCAGCGGACCGTCGTTTGAAGGGTCATTCTGCAACGATTGCAGAATGACCCTTCATGATTGCAGATTCTGTGTTCCTGTGGCTGGAGATGATGCGGAGACTACATCTCCTCCTGCGACCACAACCATCGTGCTTGAACCCCCGCGGGATCCTGGCACGTTTTGCGGTTCCGGCGATCCAGATGAAGTGGACGTTCAAGATAGGCTGACAGAGTACGCACGTGTGAGTACTCGATACTGATGGGGCCAGACTCTTATGCTGGCGAACCTGATGTTCTATCTTAAGAGAACCGCCAAATCGTGGTATGAGAACCATGAAGCAGAACTTGGGAGTTGGGCAATGTGGAGGGAGAAAATGTGTGACCTGTTTGGGAAGTTTATTGGAAGAAAAATGGCTGCGAACAAAATGCTCACGTCTCGGGCACAGACCTTGACGGAGTCGTACGTCTCGTATATAGAAGATGTGTTAGCATTGTGTCGCAAAGCCAATGCCAAGATGCCGGAGGCTGACATGGTTGGACATATTCTTAACAGGATTGCGAATGACACATTCAACTTCTTCATCTGCGAAAATTATTCTACAGTGAAAGCCATTATAAAGGAATGCCGGCGCTTTGAGTTAGCGAAGAGCCGGCAGATTTACAGCGTGTTTGCCCGCCTTCCGAATACGGCTGCAACTTTGTCTTGCGAAGACCGTGCAAGAACACAGCCACCATCTCCAGTTTCATCGGATCAGGTGACCCGAATTGTACGGCGCGAAACTTGAAGCCATTACCCCTGTTCCGGCTCACACTGCTGCAAGTGACACGACCCCACTCACTGCTAAC